TTGCAGAGGTCAATGGCCAACCTGAATTTCCCTAGCAGATGCCTCTTTCCCAAGGCCCGTTTCTTCAGCCTCCTAGATGGCTTGCCAATTTTTGGTTTACAACCTGGGGAGTTCCCCGGGTGGAATCTGAAGCTGGTTCCCCGTACCCAGAGGGTGCAGAATGAGGCAGACCGCTCCAGATTAGTGGGTAGCAGGGGTTTTTTATTTATTTTGTTTTTCAGTTACAGCTTACATGCAGTATTATTTTGTATTAGTTTCAGGTGTACAGCACAGTGGTTAGGTGGCAGGTTTAATAAGCAAGAAGAAAACTTACAAGACTTGTCCTGGGCGGACACAAGACAAGTAGATCTCTGCATCAGCCCACCAGAATCCTACAAGTTTTAGGGAGGCTTTAACTAGGTTCAGTCACACACAGCGTCCAGATGGTTTCAACAACACCTTGCTTTCTCAAGGCTTCGTCCTTGAAGACAGCTCCCACTGTGAGAATGGTGCAGAGCATACATTCCCAGGACAGAAGAGGGGGTGAGGAGCTTCCTAATGCCTAGGTCCAGCTCAAGGGTCAACCAGCAGTTGCTGTCTCAGTGCTCTATTCCAAAAGTGACTTGGTATAGGAAAGGGAGGCTGTGTGTCCAGATGTTTCAGAGCAGTTCCTGACAGTCTTTGCAGTTTGCTTCTTCAAACTGCTCCTCTACTTACTTATTCATTTATTTTTATTGCTTTCAGAGAAAGGGAGAGGGAGAGAGAGTCATTGATCCGCTGCCTCCTGCACGATCCCCGCTGGGATCCGGCAGGAGCCCTCACCAGGAATCAAACTGTGATCTCCTGGATCCTAGGTCAATGCTCAACCGCTGAGCCACGCTGGCCCGGCAAACTGCTCCTCTCTTTAAAATCCAGCTTAAGATGCCTCCTACAAGAAGCCTGACCTCAGTGCCTTTGTGGCTCTATAACATTCCATCCTTGACTTCAGAGGCCGATCCAGGTTCTTTGGGGCCAGAGGCTCATACACCTTGGGGGGACCTCTTTAAACGTACAAAAACAATCACGTAAGTGTGAAAGTTAGCATTTATTTTGTTTGGGAAAATAAACCACAGCACATTCCTGGAATCCTGGAGACTGGTTTCCCTTCTTTTTGAGATCTCCATAGACAATTGACCTGAAATGTTTCCTGATGGCAACCTGGCTTCCCCCCTCATGGAGACTACCAATTCCAGCTTTTCCAGCACTCATTCGCTTCACAGTAAACCCTCGCCTACCGCTCTTGCCCGTTTTTTTCCTGCCACAAAGACCATCTTCTGGCGGCTCTACTGAGCTCACACGCAGCGCTCCCGCCTCCTGCAAACTAGCGCATCACTGGTTTTGTGGGATGTGTAGCGAAGGCACAAGACACGGCGTCTCTCATTACCTCCCTATATGTTCCTATAATGTACAGAACCTCAATTTTCCCATCTGTGAAATGGGGACTTGGACAGGGTTTTCCAGTGGCCTCCTACGTGAGGATCCTCGGACTGAGGGGAGCCAGGAGGACTCCGGAACGCGGCGCCCTAATTTAAGCGCTACCCTGTGACACACCCCACCCCCTGATGACCTGGCTGAAGCCAGCTTTTCTCTCGGGGTCTGAATGGTATCCGCGAAACGCACCTTCAAGCTAGCCTTGCCGTCCCCCGCGCAGCCCCGGTGCGGCTCAGGTCAGGGAGGAGGGACTCACCCACCCATCTCCCAAGCCTCGGAGCTCGGCCCCACCCCATTGGCGAACGACCCGTGAGAAATCTCGCGAGAATCGCGCTCCCGACAGACTCGAGATTTTGGGCCTTTTCCGGATTCCGTAGCTCTGAGTCCCAGTCCCTAACTAGTGCTTCCGGGTTGCATCCCGGGAAAGCTTCAGTGGTGTTGCGAGTGGAACCAAATACCGGAGGTATCAGTAAGTAGGGGGCCGAACCGAGCCTGAGTGTCTGCCTTTAGTCCCCTCCTTTGCTTCCTTGGAGAGCCTGGTACAGCTTAGCAGGAGGGCCCAGGATTTCTGAATCCCCAGCCCTATGACTCAGGGACTCCTGTCCAGTTTCCTCTCCCAGGATTTCGATTATTTAGTTCTGCGAGCTCACCTCGCCGTCTGAGAGATGAGGAAACCGAGTCTTACAGCATAGCCCCGAGGCGCAGTTTACCAGGCCCCGTCCCCTCCCCAGGGTTCCTCCCAATGGGCACAGACCCTCTATGTCCCCTGTCTTGGGTCCAAGGTCCCGTACAGATACCGGCCTCAGGCACATCCCCCTCAGTCACCCTCTACTGGTCTCCCTGACTGTCTACAGGCCTAGGCAGCATGGCCTTATTCCGGTCGGGCCTCCTGGTGCTGACGACGCCGCTGGCCTCTCTGGCCCCTCGCCTGGCCCCTATCCTGACTTCTGCGGCCCGGCTGGTGAATCACACACTCTATGTACACCTGCAGCCGGGCATGAGCCTGGAGGGCCCGGCTCAGCCCCAGTCCAGCCCCGTGCAGGCCACATTTGAGATTATCGATTTCATCACAAACTTCTATGCTGGCGCGAACGTGCACTCACACCTGGACATCAGAATCCTGCTGACCAATATCCGAACCAAGAGCGCCTTTCTCCCTCCCCTGGCCAGCTCAGTCCAGAATCTGGCCCACCCGCCGGAGGTGGTGCTGACTGACTTCCAGACCCTGGATGGAAGCCAGTACAACCCTGTCAAACAACAGCTAGAGCGTTACGCCACCAGTTGTTACAGTTGCTCCCCACAACTTACTTCAGTGCTGCTCTACCCCGATTATGGGCCTGGAGAGCTGCCTGCGGAGCCCCTGGATGTCCCCTTATCTTCCACCATCAGGCCATCCTCCCCCATGGCCAGATCTCCAAAGCAGCCGGTGCGTGGCTACCTTCGCGGTGCTGTGGGTGGCACATTTGACCGCCTGCACAATGCCCACAAGGTGTTGCTCAGTGTTGCGTGCATCCTGGCCCAGGAGCAGCTTGTGGTGGGAGTAGCAGACAAAGACCTGTTGAAGAGTGAGTTGGAGAAACACTGGATTAGGGTGGTGGAGGACCCCCAAAACTCCCCTGCCAATGCCAAGATTGAGAAAGGGTGGGGCCATCCATTACTTTCCACCCCTCCCAAATGTCACACACAGTGCCGGGCACTCAGTTGGTGCTAAGGAAATTTTGTTAAATGAATAAAAGCAGCTTCCTCAATATGTAGTCTAGTCACCACTCAATCAGAATCCCTGAAATATGGAGCCAAGGAACCCTAAGGTTTGAGACCCTGGGAATAAATGGACAAGTTAGTTGTGGCAGAGACAGTAAGAGGGGTCTCGAGGATGATATGGTTCTTGAAAGTCTCTCTATGACTCTGATGCCCATTGGCACTGCTAGTTCTCTGGACACATGGCAGCCCTTGCAGTGAGTATTGTGCTTGCCTGCTGCCTGCCTCTCATAGCTTTCCCATCACTGACCACTTCCCAGCTTAGTCCCTTCTTCCTGCCACCCTCCTCTGGAGACAGGATGCTTAAGGACACCCCCAAACTGGCCCGCACTCTTCCTCCCCAGTAAAAAGATCTCACTGTTCTGGGCTCCTTCCTCAGGCAAGTTGCTCCCTGAGCTGCTCCAGCCCTACGCAGAACGTGTGGAACATCTGAGTGAGTTCCTGGTGGACATCAAGCCCTCCTTGACTTTTGATATCATCCCCCTGCTGGACCCCTATGGGCCCGCTGGCTCTGACCCCTCCCTGGAGTTCCTGGTGGTCAGCGAGGAGACCTATCGTGGGGGGATGGCCGTCAACCGCTTCCGCCTTGAGAATGTAACCTGTGAGGGAGATTGGCAGAGGGAGTGGATGGGAACGGGGAAGGCCATTGGGGGTGGGGGGCGGCTACTGGAAGTACCATGACCCCAGAGGAGGGAAGAGAGGGCTCAAGGTGGTAGAAAGAGGCAAAGAGGAACTGGTTCTCGGGTTGTCCTTTGAGGCAAGCTCTACCTCTGGGGTAAGTAAGGGAGGCTAAGGGGCAAGTTGGTATCTATTTGCCCTTCTTCACCTCACCCCTCCTTCCCTCACCTCACCCCTTCTCTACTTCAGGACCTGGAGGAGCTTGCCTTGTTCCAGATACAGCTACTGCAGGACCTAAGCCATGAGGAAAACGAAGAGGGCAAAGTCAGCTCCTCCAGCTTCCGCCAGCGAATGCTGGGAATCTTGCTTCGGCCTCCAGATGTAAGCATGTCCTCCCTTCCTCCCAGCTCCTGGATGGGCTGGAAATGCTGGAAGGTAGATACTGAAGGATTCAACTCAAGCATGAGCCTGAGGACCCTAGTAACTGGAGTTCCTCTTATCTACCCCCAGATTAGGCCAGAGCTCCCCCCGTGTCTCTACGTGATTGGACTGACAGGCATAAGTGGCTCTGGCAAGAGTGCAGTAGCTCAGCGGCTGAAGGGCCTGGGGGCATTTGTCATCGACAGTGACCAACTGGGCCATCGGGCCTATGCCCCAGGTGGTCCTGCGTACCAGCCCGTGGTGGAAGCCTTTGGAACAGGTAATAACTGGAGAGAGCTGGAGGTCGCCTGAAGTGAGGAGGTGGCCTGGTCTCCTTGCCCAGTCCTCTGTCTCTGTCATCTAGATATTCTCCATAAAGATGGCATTATCAACAGAAAGGTCCTGGGCAGCCGGGTGTTTGGGAACAAGGTAAATACACACCTCTGCGAATGTTCTCAGCTGCTATAGACCTAGGGGTTGGGACCCAATGGATCTCTCTGATCTGGCTGAGAATGCCAATCTCCATCTATTCCCAACTACCTCATTTCTCGGGCTGGCTCTATCTCCAAGGAGAGGAACCACTGCCCACTCCCTCTATCCTGCTCCTCAGAAGCAGCTGAAGATGCTCACGGACATTATGTGGCCAGTTATCGCAAAGCTGGCCCGAGAGGAGATGGATCTGGCTGTGGCTGAGGGTGAGTGGGAGGGATGATGGGAGTGGCTAAGGGACACAGTTAAGCAGATGCCTTCCCTGGGAGTTTCCCCACTCCAAGCCAGACCATCCACTTTCCCAGGGACTATGTTTCATTGTCTCTGAATGGTAGCAAGTGGCAGGGTACTGCTGCCAGTGACTGGAGTCTCCCTACAGGAAAGCGTGTATGCGTGATTGAAGCTGCCATGCTACTTGAAGCCGGCTGGCAGAACATGGTGCATGAGGTGTGGACCATTGTCATCCCTGAAACTGAGGTATCTGGAACCCACCTTCCACTCCATCTCCACTGCAGACTGCATCCTGCCCTGAGCCAGTTGGCTGACAAATGCCATGTCTGTACTCAGGCTATACGGCGAATTGTGGAGAGGGATGGCCTGAGTGAGGCCGCAGCTCAGAGCCGGCTGCAGAGCCAGATGAGTGGGCAGCAGCTTGTGGACCAGAGCCACGTGGTGCTGAGCACCTTATGGGAGCCACATGTCACCCAGCGCCAGGTTGGTGCCCAGGGAAAGACTGGGTTGTGGGGAGGGAGTCTACAGCGAGTGCCTGCCTGACTCTGCCTTCTTTTTCTCCTAACATTCTGGCTTGCCCAAAGGTGGAGAAAGCTTGGGCCCTTCTGCAGGAGCGCATAGGTGCCATCAAGCCATGACTGATAATGAGTTTTCTGTGGGGCCAGATTGGCCCCTGGAGCTGACGAGAGATCCTGTGGTGAGGAGGAATGGGGGCTTCTGTGCTCACCCTAGCTTGGGCCTAGAGGGCTCTGAGCTAAGCTGGGCAGGGCAGGGCCTGGTGGACACAGGAAGCCTACCCAGCTTGCAGGTGTTGGCCAACACTGAGGATGTGGCCCATGGGGGAACAGCCCCTCTCATATTCCAACCCCATTCTTGCCTACAGGTGTCTGATACCTGGGGAGGGGCATGGGGGTTGGGGGAGGGCAAACACTGGAAATTGTAACAATTAAAGGTTAATGTTCCCAGGTGCTGTCTGTATGGTGTCTGCTTCCTGCTTCAATGCCTCTAAGGTATCTTTGGGACCCTTGAGCCACAGGTGCAGGCCTCAGGCCTAAGGTGGAAGCCAGGAAGGAGTACAGTGGTTAAGAGCATGGCCTTTGGAGCTAGTTAGACTGAGGCCAGCCTTGGCCCTATCACGGACTAGCTATTTGCATTTGGACAAGTTACATAGACTTTCTAGGTTCTTCAGTTTCCTTATCTATAAAGTAGTATAACTTGGTCAATAGGCTCTTTGAAAGCGTTAGTTCCACAAGTACCCAGCTGGACGCTAGGCAGGGTGTCGGAGGACTATTCTTCAACAAGACGGGAGGCCTCTGCCACCGCAGAGCCCGCAGCGTGGTGAAGTGGGACGGGGTGGCCAGGGGGCTGGTGGGCCTGGGGGAAACGTCCCCGGGACGGCTAGGCCTGGCAGGGCGCATGTGCACAACTACGACACTACTGGAACAAGCCTTTTGAGGGGACCCCATTTCACTGAATGGGTTTCATGGTGCCTACGCGAGGGAGGGAAAGACCAACAAGGAGACATCCCCAAAGCAACCAGTGTCAACCCGAAGAGCACCCTCACCCCACTACCCCGGTTCGGTGTCTCTTGGTGCGCACGCGCGCCACCCTTGCCCCGCCCTTTACCACTTGGCCGCGGATTGGCGGGTTTGGGTCACGTGTGCATGCAACGCATTTCCTCCCTGCAAGGGCCCCGCCCAGCGCGGCCCGCTGGCTGCTTTCCGGTGCGGTGTGTCTGAGATGACGGAACCCGGCGCCTCTCCGGAGGACCCCTGGGTCAAGGCAAGCCCCCTGGGCGAGCACGCCGGTGAGGGGAGGGTGGGTCGCACGCGTGCACGTAGGGGGTCCGGAAGATGAGGGAAGTCCCTCCGGTGCCCACAGTATCCCCACCTTCGCTCTCCGGGCCCAGGGGCTCCAGAGAAGACAGCTCACCCCCCGAGCGTGCCAAGGTGGGGAGATGACTGAAGCGTGTATGCGCGAGTGTGAGGCTACGGGGTTTGAGACTGGGGACGTGGGGGTGTGGGGCAGGTGGGATCATGCTGAGGGCGGCGCTTCCACGACCTAGCCAGTCTTGGCTCTGGGGGGGAATCCTTCAGTTTCCCGCGCGGGCGCGCGCACGTGTGTGTGTGTGTGTGTGTGTGTACACACTTGTCTTTCCATTGCCTGAGCACGTGCGTGTGTGTCCGTCCTTCAGTTGTCTGTGCACCTGTGTGCGCGCGTAGGATTGTATGCACAGAGTGAATGGAGGAGACGCTATCCAGGGATGTAGGTCTGATGAGCTTTTCTCCTTTGCGGGGTGCCACAGGTGGAGTATGCCTACAGCGACAACAGCCTGGACCCCGGTGAGTGCCCCCCACACATACCGTTTTCAACTCTGGAGTTACACTTCCACTTAAAGCCTGTAAATTCGCCTGGCCTTGCAAGCCGCACCTGACCAGAATCCACTATCCCTGAGCCTGATACAGTGAGGGAGGTGCTGGAGGACAAGGATAGGAGACATGGGAGAGTGACGCCTAGTTCCCTCTGCTCTGGAGCACGGAAGTGATGGAAATAGTGACAGCTGGTCACTCTCTCACCCTCTTCAAGCCCAGATGTTACTTTGTGAGCCAATGAGTATCGTTGGTACAGGCCAGTGGAGCAGTGGAATCACTTGGGGACAGGAGCATTGCAGCATGGCACTACAGGAAGTGTGTGGCCCAGTGTATGGCTGGTTTTTGGGTTTAAGGGGAGGAGAGGTCAGCATTTAAGGATGAGGGAGCCAGAGTGCCCCCAGGTGTCTGAGGTCCTGCAGTGTCCCCCCACCTTACCCTTTAGTGATTGGGGCCTCTCTTTTCCAGGGCTTTTTGTAGAAAGCACACGCAAGGGGAGTGTAGTGTCCAGAGCTAATAGCATCGGTTCCACCAGTGCCTCTTCCGTCCCCAACACAGGTAGGCAGCAACAACCCCCACCTGGCAGGGCTCAGGTATGCCATCATTTTAGTATCTTAGGAAGCTCCAGCCATCCACATGGGGTGCTAGAGTCCTAGTGCTAAACACAAGGCCTCACCATCTAGAATATTAGGTTCCTATGTCCATCTGTCATCTGGGCACCCTGTTCTTTTTCCAGTTAGGAAAAAGTGGATTAGCTGGGCCTCTTTGGGCCCCAGAATGACCTCTTCCTGCCCCCAATTCTGAGCATAGATGACGAGGACAGTGATTACCACCAGGAGTCCTACAAGGAGTCCTACAAGGACCGGCGGCGGCGAGCACACACTCAGGCTGAACAGAAGAGGAGGGATGCTATCAAGGTGATTGGGGAGGCCTCAGCCAGCACAGGAATGCCCTGCATATTTCAGACTCATTGTGCCCTGACCCCATCAGACAGTCCCAAGTGGCCTGGGGGCAGCTAGTCTAGTCCCTGGACGTGAACACCTCCCTCCTTCCAGCCACTCACCCCTTTTAGTTTGTATGGAACTTGGTGTCATGGAAGAAAAGCTTTGTGCCAGTTTGCCTTAACCCCTCAGAGTTAAGGAAACTTTTTCCCTTGTTGTCTCCACAGAGAGGCTATGACGACCTTCAGACCATCGTCCCTACCTGCCAGCAGCAGGACTTCTCCATTGGCTCCCAAAAGCTCAGCAAAGCCATCGTTCTACAGAAGAGTATGGCCAGGGAGAACACTGGAGGGGTTGGAGCCAGTGGGCTATGGGAAGGCTAGCCTCATACCCATTTTTAGCCTGGCCCTGCTGGGGGGTTGTAATGGAAGAGTTGGGGTATAGGGGAAAGGGAACAAGACCAGCTTTGCCCTCTGGTTAAGATTTCCTCTGTGCTCACCCCTCTTCCCACCCCCACCCCAGCTATTGACTACATCCAGTTTTTGCACAAAGAGAAGAAAAAGCAGGAGGAGGAAGTGTCCACGCTACGCAAGGACGTCATGGCTCTAAAGATCATGAAAGTGTAAGGGGGGCTGAACTGCAGGAACCAGGGCTTCAGAGGGGACTGAGGCCAACTTCAGGTCACACCCTCCCTTTTGTTCAAAGACCATATTAGATAATATTCTAACTCCATCCGGTGGCCACTTAGATAATAAGTCGCAGGACCCTGTACCTCAACAGTTTGACACATAGCAGACACTCTGAAAAAGCCTGTTGGATTAATGAAAGGAAGGTTGGAGAAGATAGGTGTCTATTTTTGACCTAGAAGCAATATCTAGCTTGTGAATATATCCCAGAAGGTCTCTAGGAATTACCTTGCTGGTGTGGGGGGGCGGTATGTAGGGTCACCCTATTATTTTTCCTGGCCTGGTAGAGATGCTGTAGCACTTTAGCCCTGGCCTGCTTGCTTTCAGGAACTATGAGCAGATTGTGAAGGCACACCAGGACAACCCCCACGAGGGGGAGGACCAGGTCTCTGACCAGGTCAAGTTCAACGTGTTTCAAGGCATCATGGACTCCCTGTTCCAGTCCTTCAATGCCTCCATCTCCATGGCCAGCTTTCAGGAGCTGTCAGCCTGTGTCTTCAGCTGGATTGAGGAGCACTGTAAGCCTCAGGTATGGAGCAGCAGTGGTCATGGGGTCTGGGGTCTTCTCCCACCCTTAGGCAAAGTGACCCAAGCCAATTTCAGAAAAGCAGGTAGCAGGTTTTAGGTTTCTTCAGGGTGTTTCTACAACTTTCAGCACTCGTTTCCCTCTGCTTTCTAAAGTTTAAATTTTCCTGTTACAGTTTCATTTATCAAGTATGATCTGAGCACTTCTGTAAGGCCCATGTTGTGGCCACATCAGTCACTCCTTGGCTGCCCAGTATATAAGCCCCCATCACTTGAAGCAGAAATACTTGAGGTTTTTGGAAAGATTTCTGGCCTCCACCCGCAGGCCTACTAAGGTAGTTTTTCCTGGGGCTTATTATTTGCAGCAGTGCGTTGTGTTAATGGTATTAAACAGTCTTCTGCTTTTGAAGCCTAGTTGCTTTTTCTGAGGTTTGAACTTGTACCTGAGATTCTTGCTTTCTTTGCTCCCCAACATTTTTATTGTTAAGACACTTAAAACATGCTGGAACATCAAGAGAACTTACAATGAATATTCATTTATCACCTACATTCTACCATTGTCATTTTCCACATTTGATTTATCACATAACTGTCCATCTCTCCATCCCTTTCTCCATCCTGTTTTGGGGGCATTGCAAAGTAAACTGTAGGCATCAGTGCTTCCAAGGGGCTTTCTTTTGTTTTTACTATAAAGAGCACACCTGGTCTAGGCAGGTGTCACAGACCGCTCTGTGCCCTCACCTGAGCATCATCTGTTCCTTTGATGCCTCCAACAGACTCTACGGGAGATCGTGATTGGTGTCCTGCACCAACTGAAGAACCAGCTTTACTGACCTGCAGAACAGCCAACCAAAGGCCCGAGTCTCCTACTTGGCCACAACCACTGGGCTTATGAGATTGAACTGTGACACCGTACACAAGTCAGCTGGTTTCTCTTCATGTTTTGTCCCCTAGCCCCCCTAATCCTCAGTGGGGCTGGGGTGTTTGTGAAAGCTTCTGATTAATTTATTATATTGACCATAGAGCTCAAACCTACCCAGTCTCCCCCCCACACATAGGAGTCATCAGAATGGGGTCCGCTCTGGGCACCCTGCCCTTTCCTAAGCTTCAGATTTCGGCATATGATCTGCACATACTTAGAAACTACTGTTTGCTTGTGTTGGCCTCTTGGGTGACAACTGGCCCAAGTTAGGCTTTTTGGCAGTAGTTGCACAGGAAGAAAGCATTAAGAGAAAATACTTTCACAGCTGCATAGGGTGAAAGGGCTTGTGCTGAGGCTAGAGCTGCCTGGTCAGCCCAAGGCAAAGCCACGGCTTTCTGGCCAGCTCAGGGCAGGGCTGCCAGGTTGCTGCTCCGCCGTTTACTCCGTCACTTCTTTACCCTCTGCTCTGGACAGCAGAGAAGCAGCCTCCCCCCTACTCCTGCCCTCTGTCCCCACAGGCATTGGCACTGTGCAGCAAAGTCAAATGGATACAGCACCACATATTAAAGTTTTTATTTTTCTAAACACCAACAAAGCAATTTTGCTAAAGTTGCAATTATTAGCTGGGCCTCAAAACCACTCCCAGCCTTTCTGTCAGGTATATCTGGGTCTCTACCATCTCTCAGTGCTGCTTGCACTTCTCTCAGGACTTGGGGAGGTGAAGGCTCGGGGTGTATAGAACCCAAGAGAGTCCAGGGTACAGCCCTGGACTCCTTGAATGCTGTGTATAATAGCCTCTCTCTACCCTTGTCCCTCAAGCTCCCTTTTGCCTTCCTCAGATTTGATATCTGGGAGGTTTAATTATCCAGAGGAAGTTAAATATTTTTATATCAAATTATATTACAATAAACATTGGCAAATGCTTTCCTTTAGTTTTGTTCCAAGTCTAAGTGTTAAGCTCAAGCAATTGAAATGTGAACCATGTAATGAGCATAAACATCCATTCTAGGTGACTAGCACTCCCTCCCTTCCCTCTCTGCCTAATACTCTGGTTTATGCCCCTCTCCCAACTGCTCTGCTCAAAGGTGGGAAGCAGCGGTAACAACAAAAAAACCTGGCTGAAAGGGGCAGCCAGTCTGGGACGTCTCTGTCTCCACAATCCAGTCCTAGCACAGGGGCTCTCAGGGGTCTGGGAGCTTGACGTTGTAATCTTCATCTGTCTCTATCCCAACTTCCTCCTGTGGGGCAAGGAGAAAAGTGAATGAGGCCTCCCTGGATGAAACCTCATGTGAGCAAGGAAGGGAAAGAGAACCACTTACAAAGAACTGCTTCTTGCTCTTGGAGTATCCTTCAAGGATTGCATCACACAGCTCTGTTGCCTGACAAGAAACAAAACCACCCCTTTACAGATGGACAGTACTTGGCAGTACCTGACAGATACATGATATGGGGCAGCAGTTTCTCTGGGGGCTACTATTTTCCAGGGCCTGCCTTGGAGTTTCTGCACTTACCATCCTCTTGCGCTTCCTCCACTCCTTGCAGTACTTCTGCCTCTCTCTGTACACCTAAGCAGGGGAAACAGGTTCCTCTAAGCCCTTCGCCCCATGGCAGCCACTGGTCAACCCTTGCCCTCACTTCTCAGCACATGGGGCCCTCCCTCCCAACTCACCTGTTCTTTTTCTTCTGGGGTCACATGGTTGGTGGCTGCTTTGATGCTCTTCAGTCTCTCTGTGTAGCCAGCACATTCCTTCTTCAACTCCTGGAGCTCTTTCTGCATCTCAGGTGTGGTCAGGGCACTAGATAATTCCTTCAGCTCTGAAAACACATCTCCCTGAGATCACCTGCTATCCCCCAAGGGAGTCTTTTCCAGTGGGTGCTCCCTGAGGTAGGAGACCAGGCCTCCATTCGCTGAGTCCTACACCCAGGGTCCAGAATGGGCCCCTTATTCTAGAAATGCTCAGGAAAGATTAAGACTTACAGAATTATCAGTTTATTCTAGTTTCCTTTCCTCCTCCATCTACAAGTAGTGGTCAGGTGTGAGGCTAAACAGACTGTTAGCTGTAGCCAGTTAAAGGAGCAGGAATAAAGGGAAGTGTGGGAACAGTATACTGATAATTATGGTAAGGAAAGCAAATGCATTTCTTGCCTATTTGTATTTCAAAAGCCATTAATTGTCATATATTTCTTTTAATGTAATGCCATGGCAGCCCAGCAAAGGGATCTTCACTGCAATGAGACAACAATGCAGTCAACAAACCATTCCCTTAGTAATTCCTGACCTCTGGACTGACCCTGATGCTAGGGGCACCCTCCAGAAGAGCTCATTCTTACCAGCTTCCATGTGGCGGCAGCTCTGCTGCAAGCTCTGCACCTTGGCAGTGAGGGTCACAATTTTGGCATCCAGGCTTTGGAGGTCAGCGTCGCTCACCATGTCAAATTGGTCCTGCCAAAGACAAGGAGGAAAAGAAAAGTGGGCTGATGTGACACAGGATGGGAACCCACGTCTAGAAAGGCAACATTCACATGCACTTAAGAACCTGAGACCCCCCCCAACCTTCCAAAGGACCTTCCAAAGTAGCAGGAGTGTATCTTTGAGAAATCATTCAGTTTAGTACTTGGTCCAACAAGGTATCAAAGTTGAAACCTAATGTCTGTCCTCAAGGGGCTTCTAGGTTGTCAGGAAACAGGATAGGACAAATATCTTTCAGTTTAGTGGTCAATCCTCTCACTGGGCTGAAGTAGTAAAGGAACATTCTTCCCCAAGTGGTGATACCTAAGTTATGGGCTTCCACAATAGGAAGAGTCTGGACAGGCAAGGAGGCATGTTGGGAGGTACTTAGTTAAGGGACTCTAGTAAAGTGGTACCTCGGTTTCCCAACGTCTCGGTTGACGAACATTTCGGTTTACGAATGCCGCAAACCCGGAAGTAAATGCTTGTTTTGAAACATGCCTCGGAAGCCGAACATGCCACACGGCTTCCGCTGAGGGCAGGATCCTGAGGCCTAGCTGTCGGCTGTTGATCCCTCAGCTTTCGAACGTTTCAGAACTCCAACTGTCTTCCGGAACGGATTGCATTCAAAACCGGAGGTAACACCGTAATAAAGTCTGAGGAGCCCCTCCCATGGAAGACATGTTGGGGCTCAGTAGGAGTCTCCTCAGTTTGTGAGGGGGAGCAGGTTAGAAAGGATGTGAATCCTGGGCAGTCTGGACTCTACATTAAGGCAAGGTTAAACCTTTATAGCAAGAGGCAGCAAACTGCGGCCTGCAAGACAAGTCCTGCCAGATGCATGCTTTTTATTTTTCTTATTTATTTTTTTAATTTTTTTAAATATATCTTTATTGATTTCAGAGAGAGGAAAGGAGAGGGAGAGAGAGAGATAGAAACATCAATGATGAGAGAGTCACTGATCGAGCCCGCAACCCGGGCATGTGCCCTGACCGGGAATCGAACCCCGATCCCCTGGATCCCAGGTCGACGCTCAACCGCTGAGCCACGCCCAGCCGGGCGATGCATGCTTTTTAAACCAAAAATGTATTAAGACAGCCACACCCATTCATTACATATTGTCTATGGCTGCTTTTGCTCTACAGTGGTGGACTTGAGTAGTTGTGACAGTTGTGTAGCTGTGGTAAGAGACCATCTGGCCTGCAAAGCATAACAATATTAACTGTCTGACCCTTTACAGAAAAAAAAAAAATCTGCCAACTTCTCCTTTAAGGGGCCTTCAACAGAGTAGTAACATAATAAAACCTATTTTAGGAAAATTAGCCTTGATGGTGATTTGGTTCGGTTAAAAGAGGATTTAATGTCTACTGGATGTTAAATACTGTGGAGTGCTAAGTAAAGGAAGAGGAATGAGAAATGGGATCTGTCCTAGAACAGTTTATACCACAGTACTGTATGTCTCAAGAGGTAAGCACCTGAAGAAGCCATTAGCTCAGAGCATCCGGGAAGGTTTCTGGGAAAGGTAATGCCTGAGTGAAATTCTAAAGGATGAGTAAGAGTTAGCTGGGCAAAGAGGAAGAAGAGACTAAAAACTCCAGGCAGGGGAAGGCCAATGAGCTAAGGATACAGGAGTAAAACACATATAAATGATCTAGTATTAACGGATGAAGAAGTAACAGGGACAGCTGAGGTTAGAGGCAGGCTGGGGCCAAGATACTGCAACAGATGAGGAGAGCCTGAACCACAGCAGCGATGGCAGGTGGGAAGGAGAGGAATTCAAGGAGGGGGAAATCAGCTGGACTCGATGGCTGGCTAGCCATGTGAGATAAGGGAAGTTAAGAATGACTCCCTGGTCTCTGGATCGGGTGAAGAGTGATACCATTAAGAAGGAAGAATGTGAAAGGAGCCAGCAGGGAGAGAGGAAGCATGCTACTTTAGCCACGATTCTGAAAGACATCCAGATGGAGGTCTGGGCTGGGGATACAAAATTAATGTGTGTGTGTTTAGGGAGGCAGGTGGAAACAGAAGGAAAATCATTTGGCACAAGGTGATTCTAATCTAGATGATTGGGAATAAGAACTTCCCAGCGGAAATGGATTTTGGATTTTCTGTCATCTATCACATTTCAAATCTGGAAATCTCATGAGGTTTGGATCACAGCAAGGGAGTACACACACTGATTTAAAGGATGGCTGGGGCCCTTTTAATGGTGTAAGAACAGCTGAATTTCATGGACTGCCTCAACTCTCCCAAAAGAGTTCGTATTAAGGACTGATCCTCCCAAGAGTTCATACACGGGTGATAATTTGAGCAGGCTTCCCTCACCTGGTCCGCAAAATATATCTTCTGCTTGCCATACATCTTCTCTTTGATCTTGCCTTGTTGGGCCAGCTGCTCCAGGGCCTTCACCACTGCCTGGTAGAGGGGAGGGTGCGGAGCAATCAGAGTGACTTCGGCCCAGGCGGCCAGTGACGCGGAAAGCGCGCGACAAGCCTTAGGAAGCCCAGGGCTTAGAATGGCAGCCTCGAGACAGCAGGACCCCAGGCTGATTCGAGGGGTCCCAAGGGGAAGAACCCCAGGAGAGGGTCCTCACCGCTTTGCCCAGCCCGTGTTCCCGCTGCAGGTTCCCGAACACATCCTGCGCGCTGTAGGGCCGGTTCTGCTCCTGCAGGTACTTCAGAAGGATGCCGGGGGCTACGGGAAGAGGCGAGACAGGGGAGCGGGTCACTCTGCCGACCCCCTCACCCGCTCCCCTCTGGGTCTCCCCGGCTCCCAGGGCCCGCTTACCTCCACTCGCAGCTTCAGCCCGGCTTTTACTCATGGCCTTTCCCGCCACCACACTCCTAAAGCCGGACGTTACGGTTGCTCGGGGCAACGGCTCCTTCCGGCGGCGGGAGGGGCGGCCCCCGTGAGGTGACTGGCGAAGGGGAAGCCTTCGCGAGGCACGACGCGACCCTTCCGAGGCACCGTAGTTGATTTCTGCCCGGAGCTTGGGCGCCGGGCCCTACTTCCTGGAGTCTCTGCGGAGAGGTGGGAGCACAGCCTGCAGGCTCTCCCTTCCTCCTCCTCCGAACTGAAGCCGTAGTTAAGTCACGCCTTGGTTTTGTGACTTAGCCTAACGGCGGCTAAGCACTCCTGAGCCTGAGCCGGCTGAAAGTTCGAACGGGAAGAAACCTCAGGGTCAACTCCCGCGAGGCAAGCGGTTAGCTCAAGGTCACAGGGCAGTTACCCCCCGGGACCTGTCCTATTCCACGCCTCGAGGCTCTTTGCCGGTTGGTCTTATCATTTGTAAAATAGGAACCAATGGTACTTGCAGAAGAGTGGTCGTGAAGACTTACTAGAATGCCTAAAACACCCCGGAAAGCGCATAACGTCACCTGTTTGCTCGTTACCGAGCTCCGCACACAGGGGGCGCTCAATTCATGCTGTAGTTTGAAAGCCAAGGAATGGTAGGCTTGGGAGGGGGCTATTAAACCACAAAGCTTTTACAAGAGTTTACTGTTGGCTGAGTCAATCTTATGGCAGCACCTGGCAGGTGCTTTCCATTCCTGCCCACAGTGGCCAATGGGACAAAGCTTAAAATAAGTATTTCTAGTTTCTGAGGTCAGCTGAAGGCCAAAAGAACAGCTGTCCCTGCAGCTCAAACAATCCAGAGGGAAGTGGTGTTACTTTTTTAAAGCTTTCTGTTACCTCAAAATCTCATTAGCCTTTGAAATGTACTTGTCTTCACGTGTTTAGGGGGCAGTATCAAGAATTAGATGCCCTCAGTGTGCCTCAGTTGGTTGGAGCGTCACCTGCCCACTGCAAGGTTGCTTGTTTTGTTCCCAGTCAGGGCACATACTTAGGTTGAGGTTTGATCCCTGGTGGCGGTGGGTACGGGAGGCAACCAATCAGTGTTTCTCTCACACACCCATGTTTTTCTCTCTTCCCCTCTAAAATCAGTAAAAACATATCCTCACGTGAGAACTTAAAAAAAAGAATTAGAAATGATTGGCCTGTAGGTTAGATGCCGGCCAAAAGTGCCAGTTATGCTCATATCCTCTCTTGGGGAGGGGAGAGTGACCTTATACCATGGTGGTTTTCTGACCATCACAAAGGAAAAGCAGGGATAGGCAAGTGGGTCCCTCACACCTGGCCTTCCTCTCTTCTGAGGCTCTCACCTCCTCAAGTTAATCACATATCAGATGAACAAGAGAAGACCTATCAAGGGTAGGACATCATTCAACTTTAGTCTCTTAAAAATTGTTCTCATACAAGATTTATTCCCCAGCACCCCTCCCACCCCCATCCCCACCCCAATTCACAGTGGAGGACTAAGGAGATTCAGAGCGGGATCCCCCAGGTACAAGAAACACCTTCCAAAGATTTTGCTCTCCTTCCTTCCCTCCCTCTTGCTAACTCCAAAGGCCTGGAGCTACACACACTCATGCAAACATACAAAATCCCACTCCTGGTCCCACACCTCCCATTTTTTTCCACATCAGAGATCACCTGTAAGACATGGACTCTGAGAAAAGATAAGGTGCCCAAAATCTGTTCGAGAACCCTGAAGTGGGGAGATGCCATTACCCCTAACCATACAAAGGTGACTATGAAACACACCTAGCTCTTCTCCCTTCTCACTGCTAACAATTTCCACTTCCTGGCCTCTACTTTCTATCAACCAAGAGCAAACATGTTAGCACACTCCCACCTACAGCACATGAAAATGGGCTCTAGCATCCCTCACCCAGGTGTGGGGGTGTTGGGGGAGTGGTCCCTGAGGATCAGCAAAGGGTTAGTGTAGAGGGAATGAGGATAGGAGAGTTTGGCTTGAGCTCTGATTGGGGAAGCAGAGAAAGGGTGTAAGCTGACACAGGTTTAAAACTAATCACCCATTTTAGTTTTTGTCTCACATGATTTTACTAGGGGCAGTCTAACAGATACCCCTTAGAGGGGTCTCTGCTCCTTACAGAAACATTCTTGCTAACTAGGCTCATCCTTAAAAGGCCCTACCAAGTTGGGAAGCAGTTCAATATAAAAAGTATTAAAGGAGCTGAACAGAGAGTAAGAACAGCTGGTGCAAGAAAAGCTGGTGGCTCCTGGGATGAATGCCACGAAGCCATTTGTAAAGTGCTACTCTGGCATCCTCCATGGAATATTGCTTCTCCAGGGGAGGAGCAGGGGAACAAACAGGAATGTAGAAATGGGTATGGTATGATATTGCTTTGCTAGTTGCTCAGGCTGGTCAAATGGAGCCAGGGGTTAGCAGCACCAAGGACAACTAGGCAGCTCCAGAAGATTTAGTGAGACCATGAGATATAGAGGCACTCACCCTTCCAGCCAGCTGACCCCATGGCCCAAGGTAATGTAGAAAAGGTCCACCCCCACATCATGTTCACATTTCTTAAATTTCACAAGCAATGTTTTGGAGCACGGGATTAGGCCTCAAAAAATGAGGATGGACTGGGGCCGAGGGAACAGGCCTGCTCTGCAGAACCAAAGGACAACCTTATTTAGAAAAAGACAAATCAAATCATGGCTTAGCAAAAGAGGATGACAGTGTAACCCTTCCAGCTGCTGCCTGACTTGGGCCTGTAAGGAGGTGATGGAGAAGGAAGGGAAGGAAGGGCTCTTCGATCAATGAGGGCCCCAGAGCACCCATACCTAGAAGCAAACAGCAGCACCCCCCTCAAAGGGGAACCAATACCCCTGACTACTTTGTTCCCCAAAAGTACCATCCTGATGGAGAGAAGCCTCCCTAAGGAAGTCCACTCTCATTTCAGTGACTGAGCTCAGAAATGATGTCCAGCTGGTAACAAGGAGTGAGAGTATCCTCTCTCAACAGGCCTCTGAGCACCAGCCAGGCCACCAGGCATACAAATATAATTCAGGGGATGGGACCTGGGTTCTTCCATTGCCCCTTCACCTTTAGTGGGATGAGGAGAAGAAAAACCTAAACCACAGTGACCCCCAAAAGGAGTCTCTGCCTCAGTGGCTCCTGGAACTGGCAGGGTCCAGTTGACTCAGCTCTGACTGGTCCAGAAGTTCAAAGTCATCCCCCTCAGCATCAGTGTCCAGGTCTGAGCTGGGGACCCGGAGGAAGCCTCTGGTTGCTCTCCGGGGAGGTGGGCCAGAAGGGCCTGGCTGGGAGGCGCCTGACAGGGCCAGCTGGATCATGCCCTGGGAGACCAGGCTGGCAAGGTTGCTGGTGAGGTTGGATCCTGCAGGCAGGGCACCAAGCAGGAGCTCTGGCAGTGCAGCCTCGTCCTGGCTGGCTGGGGAGACCGGGGGCTCCTCAGCCCCTGGTGGGGAACGATACATCAAGCTGGGCATTCCAATGCTGGTATCGTCCTCATCATCCAGGCCAGCAGGATCCACATTAATGGAAGGGAAGTCTGGAAGGTCTCTGGCAAAGGATTCCTCTGGATCACTGTGACCATCTAGGTCTGAGAGCATAGAAGGGTGTGTGAGACATGGCAACTACCTGGCCCCAGCCCCACAAAGACAGCCCCATATAACCACCCTGGATATCTAAGAGTGAAGCAAAACCCACAGCCCTAGTCAGCTTTCCCCCCACTATATAAAGACTGCTGTGACCTGTACTGGCCAGAGAACTTCTCCTCTCTTCTTCCACTATGCTCCCCATGAACCTACAACCTCAGGCGACTAAGAAACTGAGGATTCTAAGGAGTACAGCTGTGCCATCCTGACTGCCACACCCCTAAGGCTGCTCTGCCACCTGATCCACTACTCAGAAAACAGGAGAGGAGAGGGCAGTATCCCCCGTTGTCTGGGGAAGCTGAAAGGCAACAGAGCCATTATCAACTCAGGTCCAAGGTTACCCTCACCTTCAGAGCCTTCTGTTAGAGGTGTTTGGCCCCGTGAAAGATTGAATGTGCCATTGTCTGTACAGGAGACTTCAGCATCCGAGTGCTCAGAGTCTGTGATGGCCAATTCCCTGGCAACAGTAGAATCATCCAGCTTAGGAAAGAAAACACAGACAAGCCTGAAGAGATGATGCCATTAAAAACAATGCAATAATTTTTTTTTTTTTTAAAGTAAAAAAAAGTACAGATGCAGTTCCCCAGAAAGCGCTTTACTAATTAGCTGGCCCTAAAGGCTACCCCTAAATCCAGAATTGTAACCAGGCATGGATGTGGACTTCCCTCAAAATCTTAACCATTTTTAGGCTGTTCCCCCAAGGAAAAAACCCTTATCAATCTTCAGCAGAGGAAGGAAAGCAGTTGCAGGAGTCAACCAGCCACTTACTCTTAGGAAAACTGATCCAGAGAATACTTTTCACAGGTGACCTGGAAGATACACACACTGCCCAACCAAAGGTGAGCAGGGCTCTTTAAAAGATGATCACACCAGTTCCTGAAGTTCTGCCGTGATGGTAGGGGTTAAAGGGAGACATGAAAGACGGTGTGCTGGTCACCAAGTTCAAATTGAGATCTATGTACAAAGTCCCAATATAACACTAGCTTCTCTCCTCACAGGAGTGCCAGTTATGTGCATGTCTGGTCTCTCAAGGGGGCGAGGGCAATGCTTAAGCCCATGAGCTTACCGCCTAAATGCAGGTGCCAGATGACTAAAAGGGAGCTAAAGAAAACTGGCCAGCCCCCAGCTGGTGTGGCTCAGTTGGTTGGGCATCATCCCATGTGGTGGAAGGTTGCCGTTTGATTCCTAGTCAGGGCACATGCCTGGGTTGTGGGCCCAATCTCTAGTAGGGGGCATACAGGAGGCATCCGAGTGATGTTTTGCTCTCTCACATCAATGTTTCTCTCTCCCTCTCCCTCTCTCTCTCTCTAAATGTAAAAAAAAAAAAATCTTTAAAAAGTAAAGAAAACTGGCCAGTGGTGCAGCTTCCACACCCAAGATACCTGAGGACAGAAGGCAGCAAGCTCCTCTTCACTGTCACTGTGGTTGTCCATGGCATGTTCTGGGTGGAGAGCTCTGCGGCGTACTATGTGGAAAGAGCAGAAGGCCTTGGCACCTTCCCTTGAAGGGAAACCCCTACCCTCTTTGAGCTTCGAAGGCATGAAATGAGAACATAACAAAACCCAACAGCTCTGAATATGGCCCTAAACCTGCGTAACAATGCCTGAGGGTGTTGCAGAGCCTAAGTGGAAAGGTAAGTTGGTAACACAGAAAAGAAAGATCTCTCTTCCAACAG